AGCCTCTCCGTGTTTGTATTTTTAAGGAGTTTTTGGTAATTGATTTCTGGTTTCATACCATTGTGACTGGAGAAGATGCTTGATAATAATTTCAGCCCTCAAATTTATTGAGACTTGTTTTGTGACCTACTGTAGTCTATCCTGAAGAATATACACTTGAATAAGACATGTGTATTCTGCTGTTTGGGGGTGGAATGCTCTATAAATATCTATTAAGGCCTTTGGATTGAATGCCATTCATTTAAGGCCATTGTTACCTTGTTAATTTTGTAGCTGTAAGACTTGTCCATTGATATAAGTGGAGTATTGAAGTTGTCTAATATTATTGTAGTACCTATCTCACTTATGTTTGTTAATATTTATTTATTTATTTAGGTGCTCCTATATGCAATGCATAGATGTTGACATCTATATCCTCTTGTTGGATTGATCCTTTTTTTTTTCATTATGTACCATAATGCCCTTCATTGTCTCTGTTGTTCCAGTCTTTTTTTTTTTTTAAATGTCTGTTTTGTCTGATATATGAATAGTTACTCCATATTTCTTTTCATTTCAATTTTCATGAAATGTGTTTTTCCAGTCTTTTCTTCTATCCGGGTGTGTCTTTCCATCTGAAGTGAGTCTATTGTTGGCAGCATATATTTTCTTCTTTTTAATCCAGCCACCATATATCTATTGATTGGAATATTTAGTTCATTTATATTTAAAGTGTTCATTGATAGGTATGTATTTATTGCAATTTTATTAATTGTTTTGTAGTTCTTTTCTGTTTTTTTAGTTTTCTCTCTTCTCTTGTAGACTGATGACTTTAATAATTTGAGTTCCTTTTCCTTTATTTTTTGTGTATCTATTATAGGTTTTTGGTTTGTGGTTACCATGAGATTTATATATAGCAAGCTATATTTATGGCATTCTATTTTAAATTGATGGTCACTTGAGATCAAAAACATTCTAAAAGTATTACATTTTACCCCCTCCCCCACTTTTATGCATTTTGGCATTATATTTTACATTGTGTGTGTGTGTGTGTGTGTGTGTGTGTGTATGCTTTAATGTATTATTGTAATTACATGTGACCTTATTACTTTTCTCTTTTAACATTAATAGTGGCTTCATACTTGGTTAATCTACTACTTTTACTAAATGTTTGCCTTTATCAGTGAGATTTTTTTCTTACATATTTTTATTTTTAGGCCTTTTTTCCACTTAAAAGAGTCCCCTTAACATTTCATAGTGTCAGTTTAGTGGTAATGGGCCCCTTTTGCTTTTGCTTGTCTCAGAAACTATTTTCTTTCAATTCTAGGAAGAATATTCTTGGTTTTAGTTTTTTTCTTTCATTGCCTTGAATATATTGTGCCATTCTTTCTGTTCTGAAAAGCTTCTGCTGAAAAATTAGCTGATAGTCCTTATGGGTATCCTCTTTGTTTAACAAACTGATTTTCTCTTGCTGCTTTTAAGATTCTCTCTTTATTCTTAACTATTGGGATTTAAAAAATTTTTATTGATTTATTTATTATTTTTTTAGAGAGTGAGGGGAAGGGTGAGGAAGACATCAATTTGTTGTTCCACTTACATATGCATTCATTGGTTGCTTCTCTTGTGTGTGTCCTGATCAGAGATTGAACCTGCAACCTCAGAGTATCAGAACAGTGCTCGACCAAAGCAGCTACCCAGCCAGGGAAACTTTCGGTATTTTAATTATGATGTGTGTTGATGTGAGGCTTTCTGGGTTTAACAACTATGGGACTCTGAGTGCTTCCTGGACTTGAATGTCTGTTTCCTTCACCAGGTTAGAGAAGATTTCAAACATTTTCCTTTAAATAGGTTTTTTTGTCCTTTTTTCTTCTCTCTTCTCTTTCTGGGACCACTAGGATGAAAATGTTAGTATGCTTGAAGTTATCTCATAGATTCATTAAACTTACTGTCATTTCTTTCTTCTTCTTCTTCTTCTTCTTCTTCTTCTTCTTCTTCTTCTTCTTCTTCTTCTTCTTCTTCTTCTTCTTCTTCTTCTTCTTCTTTTTTCCTCACCCAAGGATATTTTTCCATTGATTTTTAGGGAGAGTGGAAGAGAGAGAGAAAGGCAGAGAGAAACATCGATGCAGAAAAAAACACATCAATTGGTTGCCTCCTGAAGGAGCCCTAGCCAGGACCTGGGTAGGCTAAGAGCCTGCAACCAAGGTATATGCCCTTGACTGGAATCGAATCCAAGACCATTCGGTCCCAGGTCGATGCTCTATTCACTAAGCAAAATATCCTCCTCCCCCTCTTCATCCTCTTCTTCCTCCTCCTCCTCCTCTTCCTTTTTTTTTTTCTTTTTGTTGTTCCCATTCTGTGATTTACACTACCTATTTTTTAGGTTGTTGATTTCTGGGTTTTTGTTTTGTTTTGTTTTGTTTTGTTTTTAAATATTTTCTGTCCCTTTCTTAACATTCTTGCTAAATTCACCTGCTCTTCTCCTGAGTTTGTTGAGCAGCTTTGTCACCAGTGTTTTGAATTTGTTACCTGGTAGATTACATTTAGGTTTGTAATCTTATCTCTTTCATTTAGGTGTTGTTGTTTTTTTTTGGAATTTTGTTCTGTTCTTTTGTTAGAAACATATTCCTATTTCTTCAAACTTCAGTTGTTTCTCTGAATTTTAATCCATGAAGTCAGTGAAAATAGAAGCCTCTCTTGGACTTGAAGGATGGCCTTGAATAGGAGATTCCCCTTTCTAGAGTGATTGTGCCAGGTGTCTGGCCGTCTGGCTGGATCTGTGGGCATTGGCCATGGTAATTTTTGGGACAAAAACTGTACAAGGGCCTAAAACTGTAGCTAGAACAGGTGGCCCCCAAGGGTTTCCAGGGATGAGCCACACCAGAGCCTGTCTTGGCAGGTGAGGTGAAATGGTAGTGGAGGCAGGCTGTGGAGAGTCTTGGGGATCAAGGGCACTAGCCAGGAACTGAAGCTGAAGCTAGCATGGGCTAGGGGAGGAGACAGGAGCTATGGCTGGAGCCTCAGGGCAAGTGGTGTAGCCAGTGGGCCTGGGACCTGGAGCCTTGAGCCTGGGATGCACTAGGGTGGCGTTGGCCAGCTGACTAGAGCTCCTGATTGACCTCCTGCCTCTGCACTCAAGGTGGCGGGGGAACACAGCAGATGTGCTCTCTGGAGTCTCCAACCCCAGAGAGAGTTCCCGCCTCCCCACTGCAAATTGGCAGATGCTCTAGAGTTAAGCAGTTGATTGATTTCTTTCCCATTTAGTCTAGGTGCCCTTTACATGACTGCTTTTGTGCTGTACCCTAGGGCCAGTGTGTCTGCAGGAGGCTCCTCAGTGCTCCACCCCTATTGCAGGGTGACCTGCGGGCGGTGTTCCCACAGCTCACCTGCCTGTTTCTCTGAGATCTCTGTCATTTCTCGTGCAGACACTGTTCAGCCAGCCCCCAGGTCTTCTTCGGGTGGAATTGCTCTGCCTGCAGGTGTCCATTCAGTGTATTAGTGGGAGGAGGTGAGTTCAGCATCTTCCTGGGCCACTGTTTGGGCCCCTCTTATTCTCTTTACACAGCTATCGAATGCATCAAAAACAGGCAGGAAGGAAGAAAAATAAAATCTGCTTCAGCCTCCCCAAGTATCGCTTTGTAGATGGGCTTCTAGTCATATGTATGACATTCTCTGAACTTAGGTGAGACACTAAACAGCTTTGTGGTTGTGTTGCAATTTTTGTATATTTGTGAAGTTAAAGAATAATGCTCGTCATTCTCCAATTAAGCAGGTGTGGTTCTTAGACTTTAATAGGGCTACCTTTATATTCATTGCTTTTTAAACTGTTTTTAGTTTTGCTTTGAGTTACATTACATAGTCATCAAGTTTCCTCTTTTTATCAGGGCAAAATGGAGAGTTTGATGATCTTAAAAGCCTGTGATTTACCTTGGATGTGAACTATAAGGCTTATTCTGAATAAATTCCATGGCAAGCTGCAGAAATTATGTAGAAAGTCTATGAATTGGAACTTAACATGTCACTGACACATTCTGAAGTGTGTGCCTTTGCTTTAGTGATGGATGGTCCCATTCTGCCAAGTTTAGCTGAAAGGGGTGGCTTAGAAACCCAAACAGCAGATCTGGAATCTAGAAACTTCCTGGAACTTCCATAGTTTTAAATCAGGGTGGCTGCAGCCTGCATCTGTGCAAGGGATGGCATGCCACCAGCTCCTCCACGGAAGCCCCTGGGCCAGAGATATACACATCAGCCCTGTTTCTTGTGCATGGGTGTTTAAAAGCCCCAGTGGTTTGGAAGGATAAGGCCTTGCTTTGGGACTCCTTGGTCCAATTTTGGTGGAACCTGGCTTAAAACCCTGGCTATTTGATAGTCTGGCTTATTTCTATGGCGTATTAGCACCCTATAAAAGTTACATGTCATTTATTTCAAGTTTAGAGCCCTCTCAGACTTCAGGGGCAAACCAAACTTGAACCTTTTGTGGCTAAAATTCTGTTTACCTTCAGCCAAATCTTGCTTCTTGACTGTGAGCCTGGGAGGTGAGGTGAGGCCCATTGGACATCAAGCCAGTTTTGCCAAACAAGGCTCTGATAGGTTCAAACATGAATACCTCTGAAACACGGAGATTAACTTGCTGTCAGAATGCTCTGGGGCCTGCAGACAGAAGTATATTGTGCCAGGCACAGTGCACTTTGAACGTTGCCTTCCTCCCACTGAGAGGCAATATCTTAGATTTTTGCCAGACACCATTGAAATTGGGTCAAGTCACTCACCTTCCATTTCTAATACATACATCAATGGGTTTCTGTGAAGGTTATTTGACAATTCAGTTGAATGAGGATCTTGGAAAAATTTGGACTTTTCCAGTATTTGAAACATTTATTTTTAACCAGGAACAGAGTAAACAAGATACTGTGTCCCTTGCAAGGATGGCTCTGATTGCTTTGTGCCTGTTTCTGAACACAGGCTGGCAAGCAAGGCCTTGTGTTTGAATGAAGGAGCAGTAACAGCCCGTCGCATGTGCCTTTCAGATAGAGGAGTTGATGAATGCCCTGGAGAAGACCAGGCAGGAGCTGGACGCCACCAAGGCACGCCTGGCCTCCACACAGCAGTCCCTGGCTGAGAAGGAAGCACACTTGGCCAACCTCCGAATAGAGAGGAGGAAACAGCTGGAGGAGATCCTGGAGATGAAGTGAGTACCCATTTCTGTTTCCTGGTCTCTCTTTTCTGATCTCTCTTTAGGGATGGGGAAGGGAAGGCTGGAGGAGAGGAAGAAAGAGCTTGGAGAAAGAATCATTTAGCTAACACCTGACTAGTCATTTCCGGGACTACACTTCTTTTTTTTTTCTTTTTTTCTTTTTTTTTTTTTTTTTAAATTATAGCTTCCCATGATCCGTTTTGCACATTTTTTCACATCTGTGATTCAGAAGAAAGCATCAAGCATTCGATTTTGTATTTCTGCTTTATGGATGGCATTCTTAGGTCTTTTACAAAGGTCTGAACTGGCCCAGAGACCGAGGCTCGTTAAGCACAATAGTAATTTGAGCAGGGCACTGACTTACGTGGAAACTTCTCTGAGAAGGTATTTCCTAATTGTGACTATAACTTTGCTAATTATATTCTTTTCACTTGTGTACAATGCTTGGCTTGTGTTGGCTTTCATAGAGTCTCAAGGTTGACACCTCTTTGTTTAGAAAGCAGGACTCTGATTTGCTGAGCTGATAAAAACAGGCTTGGAAATCCTACTGCACTCCCATCCCTTCTGGGGAAGGTTAGGTAAGGGAGGGAGACTGGATCCAATCTCTTTTCTTTGATTTAATCGATAAAGTTCGGCTGCATGCTGGGTAGTGGTCATTCCTGTGGGCCTATGGCACATCCACCTCCACCTAGATCTTATTTTGCCCTCACAATGAAATAATATCATTATGGAAGAACATAGCTGAGAAAATTACTCAAAGATATTAGAAATAATCAATTGCTATGGATCTGTTTCTAAAAAAGTTTTAAAATAAAATAATCACCAAGAAATAATTTCTGTCCACCTTCCTTCCACGATCAGGGGAGATGTACACAGCGATGACATCTTAAGCCTGTAACATAGACTTAGAAATTGGTGGCTAGGTATGGAAGAATGACCTTCTCCTGACCCCACACGCCTTACACATGGTTAACATTAGACCCAAGAGTTTAGATCATGGAAAATATGGAGTGAAACATTTTGAAAGATTTAATGATGAGGACAAAACTTTTATTTCTCATCAACTACCTCAGTTTCTCTAAGACCAAAGAATAAGTTGTTTTTTCTCACATATAAACTCAAACTTTTCCTAATAAAAGATGATATAATGAAAACAGATATTTTTATCCTCAGTTTAGAGGTTGAGGAACTGAGACTCAGAAAGCTTTCAAGTAATTTGCTTAAGCCCATCTGGCCAGGATTAAAGCCAAAACCTTCTACCTCAAGCTTTCTTTCTATGACCTCGTTTTCTCAAGAAGTCATGTGAGCACCACCCAGCCCAGAACTTTGGTTGTTGGAGTCAGTGTGGCGATCATCCTGCCTAGAACTGTGCCTGGCATGTGGTAGGTGCTCAGTACTAATTTGTTGAATAAGCGAGTAGATTTAATGCGGAGACTGGATTTTATGTAACTAAGAAGCATAGTATTTCAAGCACTTTTGACATTATTGCCTAGATCAATAATCTCTTCACTACGGGCACATTGATTTCATCAGCCTTTATTCTTTTCCATTCATCTGTTCACTTCTGCCTCCTGGTGTGCTGTTATGGGTCATATGCAGCCTAGTTTCTCTCATTGCTTCCAAGTTAACTCTCTATCTCCTGGAGGGATTTATTATGCCATTTCATGGAAATTTTCATTCCTTCCTTTTCATAGAAAGAACATATTCTTTCAACATTTTGAGAGAACAAATAATGGCGAAGCATGCTGGTTATGAGTCAACAGACTAGAAATCCTATTGCTTCTACCTGGTCCCTGGTGGCTGGTGACTTAAGGGAAGTGACCTGGCCGGCACTTCCCCTTTAGTTCCCTCCTCTAACCCCTTTCCTGGGGTGGTTCTGAGCAGAGGTCCTCAGAGGAGGGCTTGGCACATGGAGCAGAATATATGAGTTCAAGTGGTGCTACCAGCCAATGAAAATATATCATTCATTTAGTATACTTTGTGAAGAGTATCATTTATCTAAAATTTGGATTTATTTTTCTAAAACATATAAACCTTTTCCATGTGTATGTTTTCCCACTTAATTTCATGATTTCAGATAGCACCTAACTAAGACCTCTTTTGGTGAATTGCCACATTATTTCTGAAGTGCTTAATCTGCTACCGCTACAAAATAAATATAAAATCCCTCTGTTAATTCCTTTGGTAAAAGTAACAAAGCCCTGCTTCACTAAGCCCAATATGAACCCCATTGACTATTTAACCGGCTCAGAACCCCACTTATGGCTCTGTTCTAGGACTGTTGGGGGACAAAGGTACAGGGCAATTGTATTGACTGAAAACAGCAATTAGAATCATTAGCTTCCTGGGCTGTTTAAGTCCTCCAACTGGTTTGGTTGTTCTTGATTGTTAAGCTGAGTTGCCATATTGGTTACTCGACATTAACCCAAGTCAACCTAAGTATGTGGGAACAGTCAGATGTATATATCATTGGCAGAACTGCTTTCACTCAGTGCCAGGCATTGTTGATTTTCTTTCAACTGGCAGGCAACATGCAGTAACTTTCAGCCAAGTCCAACCAGTTTCCAATCCCTGGTGGGAAGGGAGAGGCTGTGTGGTGTTTGAGGAAAGAGCTGGAGCCCAAAGCCAAGAGTCAGGAGATATGATCTCATCGTTCATCCCAAACAGGAGATTACTGTCTGGTTGCCTTTGTTTTCTCTTCATAACATGGAGGCGATAATAGTGTCTACTCTATAGAATTGTTGTAGGGTGTTTTTTTGTTTTTTTAAGTACTAAACTGAAATTAATATAAACCAGCATATGTGAAAATGCTTTGAAATATAAAAAGGGGCTTTTGGAATGAAAGGTGGTGTCTGTTAAATCCATTGCAAAATCAAATGGCACAGAGTTTTAGAATTGGAAAGCAGCAGGTTCAGCATCCCCAGATGCATAAGCCAGACTCCCATCCATTTAATACGGATAGGAATCTCCCAGGTCCTGGGAAGCAGCATTCACAGTGGAAGTCATGGGGCCATAATATGATGGTCATGCCCATGACTCTTGCAGGTAGCTCATTCCTCCTCATGTGGAACTAGAATGACTTTCCATGTAATCTTTCTATTTGTCTTGGTTTTGGTTCCAGAGCTCCACAGACTTTATCTGAACCCCACTCAGAGGATAGAAAGTGGTTTAGATATTTGAGTAATAGTGTTTATCTTAGAAAAGAAAAAGGAATGTGAAGAAGCAAAATTAAGACAGACACCGGTGACATCTTGGTATATACCTTTATAAATACTCTTTACTTTTTAACAAAAGTAGATTTGTATTTTTATAGTTTGTAAATCCTGCTTCTTTTCTTTACTGAATGGGGAATACCCTCCCTGTCACAAACATAGAATTATATTTGTAATTACTCAATGTACCGTCATATAGGTTCGCTCCTTTATTGGACATTTATCTTGGTGCCAATGTTTTGGTAATATGAAGAATGTTTTGATAAGCATCCTGCTCTTTAGCTTCATTTCTTTAAAAATAATTATAGCTTGATATGCAGTTACAAGATGCAGTAGAAAGAGGTCTCTTGTACATTTCCAACATTTCCCTCCATGGTAACCTTTTGCATAGTTATAGCACATATCACAGCAGGAAATTGATATTGGTTCAGTCATCAACTTCAATTCAGATTTGTTCAGTTTTACATGCACTCATTTATGTGTGAGTGGGTGTGAAATTGAGACATATCCATTTCAACTCATGTGTAGATGTATGTCACCACCATCATAGTTAAGACACAATATTGTTCCATCATCATAAAGATCCCTCATGCCACCTTTTGATAGCTATACCCACAACCAACTGTTTCCTTTTATTTTTATTTTTTGTTAATCCTCACCAAAGGCTATTCCCCCCCCCCCCATTGATTTTAAGAGAGAGGGAGAGAGACATCAAAGTGAGAGAGACATCGATGTGAGAGAGACACATCTATTGGTTGCCTCTCCAAACACCCTGGTCAGAGCTCAGGGAATCAAATCTGCAACCCAGGTATGTGTCCTTGACTGGGAATCGAACCTGTGACTCTTCAGTGTGTAGGCCAAAGCTCTAATCATTGAGCAAACTGGCCAGGGGCAGAGTTTTGTTTTATATTATATCATTTTGGGACAAGTGCCAGATAGTGTACATTTTCCATACCATTCTTCTTTGGAAGGGCAGGGAATTATCCTTTTAGTTTAAATTTAGACTGAATTTAAAGTTAGAAAATATTACTTTATTTTTTTTTAAAATATTACTTTATCATCTCTAATTTAAAGATTTCTCATGAGTTAGTTTTATTTTATTTACAGTGGAATTTCCTTTTAATATTGGATTTCTAGAACTTGTTATATGGTAAGGATTGAATAAGTGTTTGAGGAATAAAAGGACAAATTAGTTCAAAAACTCATAATATTCACTGAGCTCCTACCATGTGGTAGGTACTGTTCTAAGTGAACAGTGACAAATCCATGACCTTATTCAGTTTGCATTTTGGTAAAATGACTGAAAGAAATGAACAAACAAATAACTGAAAGAAATTAATAGATAGATGAATAAAGTAGATTCCTTTATAACCAAAGTTTGGAATCCCACTTAGTAAGCTATTTCCCATAGTAAGGATCCTGATGGTCATTTGGGGTAGAGAGAGACATGGAAAATGCACTGTACCCTCCTACAGCCTGAGAACCCTTTTGGGAACTGACCTCAAGGAGGGCCTTTGCCTCAGTTTCAACTAGGGTTCTTCCCTCAGCACCTCTTTCTTCAGTTTGGTCTTTAGTGGTTGCATTCTAACTGCTGGTCATTGTTCTCACACTGGAAGGTACTAACGGTTTCCAGCCATAGAAGAGCATAATATTGGCTTTCCCTTGTGTGTAAGATTATTCCTTTACTTCAACATATCTAAAACCTCTTCCTAAAACATTTCATAGTGGTTCAGTTTTGTTACATTTGCTCCTATTTAAAGGGGATTTTATTAAAATAATATT